TTCCATCAAAAACTCATTTTTGATGTTCATCGTCTCTAAATTGACTAGCCCGGATCTGCAGGCGTTACACTATTTGGCTTATACGCTGTGTGTACAGACTTGTACGCCCAGAGTACTCATCCATTAAGCCAAAATTGACATTAAGATCCTAATTCTTAACTCCAGAAGTCCAAACCACAGATCTAAGTCCACACAAGTGTCTAGAATTATAAAGTCACTGACTTGGTGACTTTGCATGCCCCAAAAGAACCAATCTTCAAGATACAACATTATACTTTCACCAAATGGACACCAACTCATGCATGAGGGATTCCAAACCCTAAAGGAGACAACTTTATGCATCTAGAACCTCAAAAACACCAAGAGTGGCAACTAATAGCTCCTGGAGTGGTACTAAACCACTAGATCTCACTCATGGGACCAAAAAGGGACAAAACTCATATATAATAGATCCAAGCCAACAATGAACAAGATCATAACTTTTTACCTCAAACAAGTTGGAAATGAAGCACATAATCAAGATTCACAAGCTCTTCCTTGATCCACAACCTTGCACCAAACTCCATCTTCTTGGAAATGACCCAAAAACACCAAGATGCACATAATGAGCTCAAAAACACCACCATGGAGGCTAAGGGATGATTTCTAGGGGTTTGGGGACTTGGAGGTTGGTAAAGAGACCAGCCCAAAAGACTTAATGTGCTTATATAGGGCACACATCCAAAAATTAGGGTTTTTCCTTTACCCCTCGTACGCCCCACATACTCCTCGTACACCTAGCATACGAGGTCTCGCACCCCTGATCAAACCCTCATATTATGCTAAACATACACCAAATTACGCCAAACGTAATGCCCTTCGCATCAGTATATGGTATCCCCTCAAACCCTAACATATTCTGAAGGCCATAACTTCTTCGTTATAAATCCGATTCCGACGATCCATATATCCATGAAAAGGTAACGAGAAGCTCTATGCTTTAATCAACTTGTATCTGCCTTACCATATCCCGAACAAACCTTCAATTCCCATAAAATCCCAAGCTGACAAATTACCAAAATACCATTTGACTCCAAAACACAAACTAAATACCCGGATCATCCAAATTACATCATCCACCTACAAATGAACCCAAATCTCAATTCTTCAAGGGTACTAAGTCTGCTAATACCCAAACCCTGATCACCACCCCGAAACGGGAAACGATTCGAAACAGGGCGTTACAAGAAAGGTGTGGGAATGGGTTGAAGTTTGAAGGGTATTTATAGAGGGATTTTGCATGCGTGTTGCACACTTGTTACGAAATGATGATGTGGCTCCAGCAGTTATGTGACATGTGGTGGATAATGGGTGGAGTGTCAGTACGCGTCGCGCACTCTGTCGTTGTGCGCGAGCGCACGCGAGGAATTTCTATTTCTTCAAAAACTCATATCTTCTTAATACAAGCTCCATTTTCAACGGGTTTCATATCCACACATAGTTATCGACGAGATCTACAACTTTCATTTAGACTATGTCGGCAAATTTTGACTTTATTTTTAAAGTTATATTTTTAACAAGCTTAAACTGTTAAAGCTCGTTAAAAATTCATAACTTTTTCATGTGATTTCTGTTCTCGAATGTCCTTATATTGACAGATAGGTGTTGAAGAGATCTTCAAATCTCGTTTAGATTGATTTTCCTAACAATCGACTGATTTTGATTTCAGTTTCTGAGTCGTATACTGCTACGTTGAAACTTCTAAAAATCACAACTTCCTCTCACAAAGTCAGATTTAGGCGTTCTTTATATGTACGAAATCCTTTTCACATATACTTTAACTTGGGTCAAGATTATTTATACTAAATAATCTCTTCTATCAAAAAGTCATTTTTAACGCTTATTATATCTTAATTGACTAGCCCAAATGTGCGGGTGTTACAAGGGTTTCCCTCCACCCTCAACCTCCATCACCTCCAAAGAGCCCTTGATCAACCCTAACCTCCCTTTGAAGTTCTTGACTCATTTTTTAATGATTTTGTGATATTGGAAGGAAGAAGAAGGAACTGTTGTGCATAGATCAAGCAAGCAATTCATTTCTACTCCTTGTGTGCATCTTCTAGACTCCTTGTAAGCCCTCAAGCTTCCATCTTTTGGGTTCCTTTTGATGGATCTAGGCTATTTAGAATGTTTTGGCCATAAGTGAGATTTGAATGGTTAGAGGAGATGAAGTTTGCAAATTTATGGCTTACATTGGTCCCTTGGTCATTATATCTTCTGGATCTAGTAGTTGGATGAATTTTGGAAGCCATGCATGAGTTTTGGGTCATTTTCTCATCTTTTTACCTAGTTGGGTGAAGGACATGCATGGGTCATGCATGCCCATAAACTCTGCATTTTTATGGACCATTAGGGTCCCAAGAAGCTTACTAGAAAGTATGAACACAGGGCTTAACAAATTAAGGACTCAACCCATTAAGTTGTCCAAGTGTATTCTCCATGATTGTTTTGTCTAGACTTTGCCACGACGTGGTGGCATGCCTACCACGACGTGGTAGCGGATTTAATCGTGACTTAGTTGGCTAGCCATGACGTTGCTATAGGTTTGCCACGGCGTGGAGACCGTTGATCGTTGACTTTGATCTGGTTGACTTTTGGTCAAATTGTTAGTTTTAGAGTGTAAACTGACGTCTGACCTTGGGTGTTTCGTTAGGTGGGTTGCAGTACGGGTTTCACGACTATATGAGCTATGAGATATCCGATTTCGAGAGCGGGTGAGTTTCTCACTATACTTCGTATGTGCTAGATTGTCTTTGTGACTCTTGCATGCTTGTTGGACGGGGCCCGTTATGTAGGCGGGGACCAATATGAGGCGGGGGCCCAGTATGAGGGTGGGGCCTATTAGTTGTGTGGGCGATGCTCGATGCTATGTATGGTATGTGGTATTTTGGGGAAGTCACTAAGCTTTGTGCTTATGGTTTTATGTTTAAATGTTTCAGGTACTTCAGGTTCCAAAGGAAAAGGCCCGACCTGATCACACTGCATCCGTTGGAGTTGATTTCCGCATTATCTATTTTGATTTACTATGATGTTGAGAACTACATTATACTTTGGTTGACTTTGAAATAAATGATTGTATGGTTTTTTATGGTTTAAAAATGAAAATTTTTACTAGTATTTTCGGGATGTTACAAAACCCACCAATGACATCATGGTGATGTAAGCTTCGTTTATGTGCTAAAACTATCCTTTTGGGTCCAATTTAGTGTAACCAACACTTAACCACTTTTCTCTCCTTGTATAAATGCAAGGTTGGACATATTCATGAAAAGGGTTGAACATATATACATACGAAATTGATCATTATCAATCTCTCTATCTCTCAAGAACATATGACATCACAAGGTATTCTGTGTTTAAGGTTTGGATTAGGCTTGTAATCCAAATCAGATTTCTTGGATTATCCCACTTCGGAATTTGTATAACTCAGGCCATAAGGGACGAATTACAGATTTCGGAAAATGATATAATCACGATCCCAACATTATTGTTATTCTGAATCCTTATTTCTAACATATAGTGGGAATTATTCTTAACAATTCTGCGTTTTATAAAAAAACGATTGATATTTTCCTTTTTTTAATATTGAAAGTATGATCGAACGGTAACAAGACACCACCCATTTTGGTCGACTATGTTGATTATTGATTACCCCTTTTTATTATATTCTAAATTATAGATAGATTATGATGTGAGAGTTAAAGACCAAAAAAATCATTGAAGATGCATAAAAAAAATTAATGGATCATGTAAAAAGATATTCCACTCTGGCAAAGAAAAGGAGATTTTGTTCTCTAGTTTAAAGATAAGAACCATGAAAGATAAAATCCAAAGAAAGAAAAAAAGAGACTACACAAGCTTTGTGGCTGCAAATTGCCTATTCTGACCCCATTATGTGAAACCAATCTCCTTTCTTTCCTTTTCTAAATCAGCTTTGGATGTTTTGTATTTCATTAAAACCTCAATTATTCGGATATCAATAGTGTTCATAAGATTCTTGAAATACCCATTGAATGGGAGCAAAGTTTCCAGCTTTTTAATGCTTTTGCCCCTAAAATGATTCTCTATCACATGAGCGACCCCTGAGTGACAAAAAAGACGCTGGAGATAAGAGTAACTAGTGAACCACCCTTTTTGTTCTCCAAAGAAATAGAACCACTTGTCCATATTAAAGCGTCATTCAAAGTCCAAAGAGAGTTCAGATTTGGATATTTAAGAGAGAAGCCGAAATTAATCGAACTGGTATTCGGGTTTCTGGAAGCGAATTGGGATTTGGGTTTCTCGATAAAAAGTTGTTAAGTGAATTGCGATTCAGGTAGAATTCATATTCAGTCAATTGAAATGGGATTTTAGTTTCTTGAAAGAAAAAGCATGAGAACTCCATAGCCTAGCGAATTGGGTTTCGGGTTTTTGAGATAAAAGCTTCGGAATTTTATATTAGGATCTTATCTGTTGAAGGGATGACAGGTGGGTGTAGTATCGTATGGTTTAGGAGAGATCTGAGGGTCGAAGATAACCCTGCTTTAGCTGCTGGTGTAAGATCAGGTAAAGTGATACCAGTGTTCATATGGGCACCTGAAGAAGAAGGTCATTATTACCCTGGAAGGGTATCAAGATGGTGGCTTAAACAGAGTTTATCTTTGCTTGATTCATCTTTGAAGAATCTTGGAACTTCTCTTATCACAAAACGATCTTCCGATAGTGTTTCTTCTCTTCTTGATGTCATTAAATCCACTGGTGCTACACAGCTCTTTTTTAACCACTTATATGGTTAGCCTCTGTACCTTCTTTTATTCGTTCAATTTATGCACTTTTGATTTAGATCTTCGTATGAAACAGCTTAAATTGGTGTTTTGATGTGTTGTAGATCCATTATCTCTGGTTAGGGATCATAGAGCGAAGGAGATTTTGAGTGAAATCGGGATTGTAGTGCGTTCATTTAATGCGGATTTGTTATATGAACCATGGGAAGTTCTTGATGATGAAGGTCGACCGTTTACTACATTTGCAGCGTTTTGGGAAAGGTGTCTTAGCATGCCTTATGATCCTGAGCCTCCTCAACTTCCACCTAAAAGAATAATCTCAGGTTATTTTCTTTCATGATTTGGATTTTAGGGCATATATTTATCTGATTGTTAGTTTTTAGTTTTGTTTTGTATGTTGGATATAGAGTAAATTTGGAAAGAAAACTAATCAGTGGTCCTTGGTGTCTAGATGTGTGCTTAAACTTATTATTGCAACTTCAAGTGGATTATGATTATATGATTATTTAGAATCAAAATAATCATATTTGCAAAAAAAATTTAAATAATTGCTAACTTAGATAAAGAAAATGGATAAAACATAGAAAACCACTTGTTATTTTGTCAATTTAGTCACCCAACTTAAAACGGTTATGCTTTTTTGTAACTGTTTAAGAAAAAAACAAACAGAAAAAAAAAATCAATTACCTAGTTTTGGAAAATGCCAAAATATAGGATATATACACATATACACCGTGTGATCATGATTTTATTGATATAGCTCCTTTTATTTACATATTGATTTGGCCACTAAATATTATTATAATAACTATATATAAGATTGATTATACTTTTTGAAACTGTTTAAGAAAAAAAAACAAAAAAAATTCAATTACCTAGTTTTGGAAAATGCCAAAATATAGGACAAATACACTGTATGATCATCATTTTATTGGTATAGCTACCGAACTTTTATTTCCATATTGATTTAGACACTAAATATTATTATAATAACCATATATAAGATTGGTTATACTTTTTTTAACTGCTTAAGAAAAAGAACAAAAAAAATTCAATTAAATAGTTTTGGAAAATGTCAAAATATAATACTATATATAAGATGGGTGCTACTATATATATCGCCATCATTCACATTCATTCACATAAATGATCACATCATGGGGTACACAAACCCTATTATACTCATATGGGGCCACGATATAGAAATTCCCTATAAGATTAGTGAATAAATCAATAAAATGGTAAAATTATGTTTTTTTTTGTGTATTATAATATTTTTCAAAACATTTATGAGTTGCTCGACCCGTCCGAAAATGGGCATAGTTGCAAAGTGACACTTTGACTTCTGTTATTTTTTTTTTTTCGGTTTAACCATTTTCTAAAGTATTAAACCAATATCTTTTTTTAAAAATCAATTTTTGTGGTTATGGAAAAGGTTAGAATCCAGGAAAACAAAACTTATTTTCTTCGGTTTTTGATTTAGTCTTTGAACTATTATTTCTTAGAATATAGTCCATGAATTATTATTATAATAATTATAAATGAATAAAAGTTTAGCGGCTAAATCAATAAAATGATGAAAATACATTATATATTTAACATTTTTCAAAACCCAAAGGAAAAAGATTTTTTAAATGTTTAAAAATATAATAGTTTAATGACTATTGTTAGTTTTTAACTATTTCATGTTAATTTTAAATATTTGAGTAAGTTGATAGTAAATGATTTCTTAAAAAGAGTAGTAATGTAAAAACAAAATTAAAGCCAAACAATTTATATGGTTCGTACGATTAAGATGATCGGCTACGTTCAGTGTGTGTGTGTGCGTGTGTGTGTGTGTGAGAGAGAGAGAGATTTATTGTTTTTTGGTGAATGACTTTTTGATACATTAGGTAACATGAATTTAGGGAATATAGGGAATATGTATATGGTTTTTTTGACCTAAAATTGTCAATAAGACAAATCTGGCCGGTGACGAAATTCGAGAGCAGGATTTTATTGCTTGGTCTACCTAGCAATTATAGCATCTTTCTTTACTCCACACCTTCTCTTCAAATACCTAGAAGTCTAGTTGAAGACATACACACCTTCAACTTCTTTGTAGTCAAACACATTGGTAAACATCTCTTTTAGATTATTCGTACCAATGATTTTTTTATTAGATTTAGAGTCCCTATTACTTGATCTGCCTAGCGTGGCTATAAGATCAAAATGATAAATAAGTCTAACTTAACGACTACTCTAAACAATTAAACGGCTAAAACTATTAAATAATATTTATATATTTTGTGTTTGTCCATATTTTTTCTTATTGAGGTAAATGTAAATTTTGCATAAGTATCCATCTCCAAGATGCTCAATAGTTTAGAATGTTTGTTCAGGTGACGTGTCTAAATGCCCTTCAGACACGTTAGTTTTCGAAAACGAATCAGAGAAAGGAAGCAATGCACTTCTATCTCGAGCATGGACGCCGGGGTGGAGCAATGGAAACAAAGCCTTAACCGCTTTCATCAACGGGCCATTACTACATTACTCCATTAACCGGAGAAAAGCCGATAGCGCCACCACTTCCTTCCTTTCCCCCCACCTCCATTTCGGTGAAGTTAGCGTCAGAAAAGTCTTCCACCAAGCTCGAATCAAACAAATCCTCTGGGCAAACGAAGGTAACAAATCCGGTGAAGAAAGCGTTAATCTTTTCCTCAAATCAATCGGTCTTCGTGAATACTCAAGGTACATGAGCTTTAACCATCCCTACAGTCACGAAAGGCCGCTTTTAGGGCATTTGAAGTTTTTCCCTTGGGTGATTGATGAAGGGTATTTTAAGGTATGGAGACAAGGTAGAACAGGGTACCCTTTGGTTGATGCGGGGATGCGTGAGCTTTGGGCTACTGGTTGGCTTCATGATCGAATTAGGGTTGTGGTTTCGAGTTTTTTTGTCAAGGTTTTACAGCTTCCATGGAGATGGGGGATGAAATATTTCTGGGATACTTTGTTAGATGCAGATCTTGAAAGTGATGCTCTCGGCTGGCAATATATCTCCGGTAGTCTTCCTGATAGTCATGAGCTTGAACGCATCGACAATCCCCAGGTTTGACGTTAATTTCACTTGTTCAAATTGGTTGAATCAAAATGTTTAAACTTTTTGTTTGTTTTTCACAGATCGAGGGGTATAAATTTGACCCAAATGGTGAATACGTAAGAAGATGGCTGCCGGAGCTTTCTAGACTACCGACTGAATGGATCCACCATCCATGGAACGCACCGGAATACGTGCTTCAAGCTGCCGGAATTGAGCTCGGATCCAATTACCCTCTTCCGATTGTGAAAATTGATACAGCACAAACTCGATTACAACAAGCACTTACACAAATGTGGCAACACGAAGCCAATTCCAGAGCTGTTCTTGAAAACGGAATCGAAGAAGGACTTGGTGATTCCACCGATGATACTCCGATTGCTTTCCCACAAGACATGCAAATGGAAACGGAACAGGATAATCTCGGGAACCGTGTAACAACCACAATACGCCATTACGAAGATCAAATGGTACCTAGTTTGACTGTGACTACATCTTTGTTTAGAGGAACAGAACAAGCAGAAGAAGAAGAGGAAGAATCGTCCACAGATCATAGAAACGCTGGGCACGATGATAGGAGAGCTGAAGTTCCCGATGATGATGATATGAATCTGGAATCGGGAAGAGAAGGAATTCAATCGGTGATTCCACAGTTTAATAACCAGATAGATCTGAGGAACATTAATGGAGGTGGTGGTGGTGGTTCACATTCACCGGCGGAATCTTCAAGTGGGACAAGTTTAAGGCGGGAAAGAGATGGAGTTATGGTGCCTGTGTGGTCGCCTGGAAATTCAGATACTTCTTCTTATTTGCAGAGGCATCCACAGTCGCATCAAGTAATCAACTGGAGACAACTTTCTCAAACCGGGTAAATTTATTTGGATCATATTTCATTCATTATTTAAATCTTTAAAAAATAAGTTAGGGATCAAATACGTAAATTACTCTAAACCACAGGGATCATTCGGGTAATTTACTCTTAGTTTAATAATGTTGTATTGTGGTGTTTATAAACAGGTAATCAGAGAAGTTAGGAGCTGAAAGATCTGGAAAGATAGTTTTTCCATTTATTATTCATGTGCTGTTTATATATATATATAAAGAAAAAAAGTGTTTTAGACATAAGAATTCTGGAGTGCTTTAGAAACCCAGATTTTTTTTATATTACATTCATGGAATTGTTGTTGTACTCTAGCGTACAATCTATCAATGCAATGTGTGGGGGTGATTGATCATATCATGATCACTATAACAAAACTTTTACTTTTACACCATGGATTGTGAATAAATATTGTTGTAAATGTTCTTGGTGCTTTCGACTTCGATGTCTTGATTTTCTTGATTTGGTTGTCGGAGAAGAGTGTATATGATGGTTGCAGTTATGGATCCTAGGATAGGGGCAATAATGTAAATCCACAGGTTTTTGTATTCGTTGGCTACGACAGCGGGCCCTATGCTTCTTGCAGGGTTCATGGAAGCTCCTGTGATTGGCCTGCAATAAAAAATGAACTTAGAAAAAGCATCTTTAATGGAGAGATTTTATTTATTAGATTAATCTATTAAATGGATAACGAAATATTCATTTTTCTTCTGTTTATAAAAAAAATGATTGTTTAGATGGTTTGTAAACTAAAGGTTCATGCATAACTTCTGATGGTACTTTGGTGATTTGTGAAAAATGAAATTGGACATAGTTTCTTTTCCTATAGCTTTAAGTGAACACATTTTTTGTGTTATTATAGTTTTACACTTCATATTCTCATTTCAATAACATTTAATCATATTTTAAAATATAAATCTTTACTATTTTTCATTAACATTTAATCATATTTACCATTTTTCAAGATTTAAGCAAAATTTAGCTACCGGACCAAAATAGTCATGTTTTGCTTCTTGGAAAATTTTGTCATGTGTGAATATCTTTGAAACCACATCGTTTTCAGGTTTGTAGGCGATATCTGCAAAAATCTTAGTTATTTGATAAAAAAAAAATGGGTCCTAAAATTAGATTTGAAAAAAAAAATCGCAGATGTCATCCGCGAAAATCCAGGTTTTATCTTCAAAGATCATATATGGAAATTTTTTTTATTAACAATTTTACACCGAAACAAAACTTGATATTGTAGTTTGAATTACGGAATAAAGAGATTTCTTATCATATTTCATAGGATATCTCATATGTGGATTTTGTAGATGTGAGAATTTTTTATTTTTATTTTGTTATTTTCATAGACGAACTATAAAATGAAGCTTTCTTCATTGTGGAAATGGTTTTTAAATATTTTTATCACAAAAAGCTTCAAAAAGGGATGATTTAAAATAAAGTTGCGTAGATGATGATCGATTTTCACAGATAAAACCAGAATTTTGCGTTTTTTTTTCAAATCTCGTTTCCGGACTCATTTTTTGATGACTAAGATTTTCGCAAATGTCATTTGTGAAAATTATCTAAACAATGACGTTTAAAAGATTTTCATAGACGTGCAAAAAATCACAGTTATTTTGGTCTAGTTGCTAATTTGGGTTAAATCTTGAAAAGGGTATAATAAAATACCTCATTTATCTTTTTCTCAAATAAAAATGGATTTTATATACGAAAAAAAAAAGTATCTTATAAAAACACTTGTCAAGATGATGAAAATGAAACCATTTTCAAATATTAAAAAACGATCATATAATATTCGTTTTTGTCGTTTATCTTTATAACTATGTACTTGTCATCAATATAAAATATGGTTGGGATTGATAGATAAACTAGAGTAATTTTAAATAATGTTTAATTGATTGGAAAAAAAAAAGGCTTTTGAAAAAGTGCGCGCATTGAAAATAAAAAACATAAAATTAGTGAAAAAGTTGAACCAACAAAAAAATAAAGCCATTGCATGAAAATGGTATCGTCTTCTTACCCTGCAATTATGACATTGAACATCAGTGTTCCTCCAATCGCAACCCCTGCAAGCTCCTTGCTCTACATAATTCATCGTCTCAAGAATAAAATCAACACATTTGAAAGTAAAGAAACAAAGATCAGATAGAAAAGATAGAACATACTGATCGATCATCAGTTGCAGCACCATTAATGGCGAACATCAACACAAAAGTGATGATGAATTCCCACAAGAAAGCTTCTAAATCAGTTGTGGGATTTGAATACCGAGTTAAAGTCGGCAGAGTGTCGTTTTGATGATTGAACAGAATTTTCAAAGTGAGACATGCAACCACAGAACCTAAAAGTTGAGACACCACATACATCGGCAACTACAACAACAACAAAATCCCAGATCAAAAAAAGCACATGATAATTGAAATTTGGGTGCGAAATTTAGGGTTCTTACATATATCAGAGGCAATCTTCCTGTAATCGCAAAAGCGATAGACACAGCAGGATTGAAATGAGCACCAGAAATATACCCAAGTGTATATATCAGAGCCATTAAAGATAAACCCCACACCATAGCAATCCCCAAAATTGTTAAAGATCGATCTCTATCAACAAGTGCAGATCCACACCCTGCAAATATCAAGATATACGTCCCAAGAAGCTCTGCGATAATCTGGGTTTTGTTAAAAGAAACGATCACTTATCAGCACTCTCGAGTTCTTGACGAAAACGGGTAAAAACCCTAAAAAAATTCACTACCTTTTGACAGTAAGGTGGAAGAACAACAACATTATTGAGGAAACTTTTCTGGGTTTGTTTGTTCTTTGGTTGTTCCGGAGTAACTGGTAATGTGCTCCTGCGTGGAGTGTGTTTGGGTGAAAATGTATAAGCTGTTGAAATGGATTCCGCCATTGATGAGCTTTGAGAAGTAGAAGATGCAGAGTGTTATGGATTTTGTTGTAATGTGGTGTTTATATAGTTGAATTGAGTTCGATTTTGGCGGCAGATTTGGTTTCGGAACGATTGGTAGAATAATGAAGCCGGCCATTGAAATGGTAGGTAGTAAGTGAACTTGATTGAGTGATTGAGTTTATATGAATGGCTCTGTGTACAAATCGCCGAATGAGTTCTTGTTTGTTGGTATTCAGTGAAGAGATTTGCTTGTGAAAGAGACAGACAAAAAGAAAAATAACTCGTCATGTAAACATCAATTCAAGGATTTTTGGTTTTTTTAATTGCCATTTTATTTATGTATTTTCTACTTGTAATAAAAACATACTTTAAATTTTTGTGTATAAGGTAATGATTTTTTATATTTTAATTATTGTATTAGATATAACAATTTGACTAATAAACAGGTTGCTGAATTCGATATCCTAGTCGAACAATCATCCTATATCATCCAGGTAAATAGATTCCCATCATACGTGAGTCGTTTGTGGGAAGATCATAATAGTATTGTACGATCGTTATTATTTATTTTTTAAAACAAATTTCTAATTGTTTCGGACCGACTAAGTACATCTTATATGAACTGTAACACCCAAAAAAAATTCAAACTTTAAAATGTTATGGTTTTAAAATTTTTTTGGGTAATAACCCACATTTAACAAAAACCAGTCCCACAAAAATATTTACAAATATTGGTATTAAGCATCATACAAACAATAACAAGCAATTGAGAATTACATCAATATAATAAATAAGGAACTTAAGAAGTTTCACTTCATTCTCTATCTGGACTTCTAACTTTCATATATCATCCTCTCTCATTAACTGTAACCTGAGATATATGACATTAAAAGCACGGGCGGAACACGAATAATAAAACTGGGGGGCTAAAACCAAAAACTTTGTTAAATGTTTTTCGAATGATCATAAATTGTAAGTTTATTAGCCATAGTTACAATATACACTACATCTATTCACATATAAAACATCACCAATAATTCACTTGTAAAATACCTAACCACTAAAATAAAATCATGTGAGTATGACAAAATATATCAAGTAACAAGTTCATAGTAAAAATGAGGTTATAGTTGTACCTTGTATGTATCTCCGTCC